CTGCAGGCGAACCGGAATGCCATCACCGCCACCGGCGAGGCGCGGAAGGCACACAAGAAGCGCCACAAACCGAAAAAATCCCGCGGTTCCGAAAGCCGCCATCTTTGCTTCGCATCACGTGACTCAGGCGGCCATCGCCGTCTTGTACGGCAACCCGCAATGGCCACAACGCCTCCATGTTGTGCGGCACACTGTGACAACCCGGGTGCCGACATATTGTACGGCAAAAAGTGACGGCCAGGGCACCGCCCTCTTGTACAGCTGTAGGGTTCTGTTGGTCTCACCTTGATTTGGCTGAGCTCGTTCGACTCGGCCGAAGGCGGCGTCGTTCGGTTCTGTTTAATTAAACTCGGCTAAATTCGGCTTGGTTCGGCTCTTGGTCTAAACTCATTTCAGTTCGGCTTTTCGTGTAAATTCGGCTTTTTCAGCTCTTCGGCTGAACTCGGCACGGTTCGGGTAAACTCGGTCATATTCGGCTCTTTGTCTAAGCGCGTCTAATGTTGGCTACACTCGGCTATAGGTTACACTCCGCTATCATCGTCTCTTCGGCTACACTCGGCTGTTTTCGGTTAGACTCGGCCCTTCGTGCAAACTCGGCTATTTTCGGCCACACTCGGCTAAACTCGGCTATTTTTGGCTACACTCGGCTCTTCGGCTACACTCGGCTATTTTCGGCTCTTCGGAAGAATTCGGCTCGGCTCGGCTCCCTGAGGGCGGGAAAGAGGGCCAGAGGACCCCGGCAGAGAGAGGCGTTTTTCCCAATGCCTGTCAGAAACCCGTCAAAATATGCCCGCCCGCGGCGCCGCTGAGCCCACAGCCCGTGTCGGGTACACTTGAAACGCCACAGAAAATCCCGTCGGAGCCACGCCGGCTTCGGTGTTCTGTGTAGGCAGTCCGGTCAGACCGACCGGGTGTCTTCAATTCTCACACCATTTTGGCCGCCATCTTGAGAATGTCAAGTGAGTCCGCGACGCGCCACTCCCAAGATGGCGGCCTCTCGGCTGCCTGTCGGCGCAGGGCTGCAGTACCGCGCTCTGCCCACAGGGCGGCAGCACTGCCGACCACCCCAGCCGGGGGCGCCGTGCGCCTTGGGGCTGCAGGCAGGGAAGGCGGCAAAAAACAACAGGGGCGATCCCCCCCAAAAACTGCTCTGAAATAAATGCCCCAAAACAACCAGGAAGAAGAACAAAAACTCCTGCCTCTAACCTATTAGGATAAAAAAAACCAAAACAATTTCTTTTTAAAATATTTAAATATTTTTTTAAATAGTTTTCATATTAATATTTACCTTTCTATATATAATGTATATTGATGTATAATTTCTATTTATAAATAATTTTTTATTCTATATTACATCTATCCCTAATACCTAAATTTATTTGTGTATTTTTGTACATATTTTTACAGAGTAAGTATATATTTCTGTTAGGATTTTTACTTCTGTAACACTTATGTGAAAAATGCATGTATTTTATGATTGGCTTTTCGCAAATATTAAAATGAATATTATATGTGTTGTGTTAGAAAATAATGCTGTATTAATTTTCTTCAGTACTGTGTTAAATATAGTTTTAGGTTATAAAAATTGTTAAAATAGAAACGATGCTATGTAGGATGCTTTGTTTAACAGAAAGGGCTTGCAGCGAGATAGCAGCCACAGGACACCTAGATCTTTCAGAGAAAGGGAATTTATTGCATTCCTATCAGAAGAAACGAACTTCTTCCCGCCTTGGAGGCGCTGTTAGGATTAGAAGGAAGAAGTTGACACTGACCAGACAGAATCCTGTATTTGAATGGAATTTATGCATCATGTATGAAGTGTATGAATATGCAACAGGCTATTGTTCTTAAGGGTTAATCCTTTGTTAACGGGTGTCCTTTTTCGGGCTCCTGATGCCCAGAAAAAGGTACCCAGACATCCGTAACTCTTTGTTTTTATTGTCTCATATTGTCCTAATTCAATTTGTCCAAATTGTTATTACTCTAATTATGTTACTATTTTTATAACTATTTTATTACTATTAAAATTTTAAAAATTTTAAAAACAAGTGATTGGCATTTTTCACAACTTACATTATTTAAAATAAATCCCCTGCCCCTACCCAAATAAAAGCCAAAAAGAGCCCCTTTAATTTCAACTGTATTTAAATGTTAAAAATTATATATTTTTCATATTTATATTCACATTTTTACTTATAATGTACATTGATGTATGTTTATTTTTACAGTTATTATTATTTTCAATTTATATTTAAATTTACAAATATTATTACATCAATTCGTATTACTTATATTTATTTATATATTTTTATTCATATCCTTATATATTAATTATATATTTCTGTGTTAAGATTTTCACTTCTGTAACACTTATAATATTTAAAATAAAACCCCTGACTCTTCCCAAATTAAAGCCAAAAAGAACCCCTTTCTTTTCAACTGTATTAAAATTATTTTAAATTATATTTTTCAGATTTATATTCACATTTACATTTAAAATGTATATTAATGTCTAGTGTTATTTGTATTCTATATTACATCTCTTCCTATCATTTATATTTACTTATATTTAAATTTCGATATGTATATTTATATCTTGGTTATATATTTCAATACTTAGAAATATAACAATAATATCTCTATTCATATTATTTAAAATAAAAACCCTGCCACTAACCCAAGAAGAACAAAAAAAAAAACTCCAACCCTTTCTTTTAAACAATATTTAAATAGCTTTTATAATTATGTTTTCATATTTATATTCACATCTATATTTTAATGTATATTAATGTACAATGTGTACTTATACATTTATCTTTATAAATTTTAATATATATATTTTTATTCTTTATTACATCTATTCCGAGTACTTATTTATATATTTTTATATATGAATTATATATTTCTGTTTTAAGATTTTTACGTCTGTAACACTTATATTATTTAAAATAAAACCCCTGTCTCTACTCAAGGAGAAGACAAAAAATTCCCTTTCTTTTAAACCATATTTACATGTTTTTGTATTTATATTCCATTTATATTGCCATTTAATGTCATTTATATTCGATACTACAACTCTTCATATTACTTACATATATTTATATTTAAATCCATATTCATAGTTTAGTAATTTCTCTTCATATATTTCTTACATATTTCTATCTTAAGATTTACATTTCTATACTTATATTATTTAAAATAAAACCTCTGCCTCTTACCAAATAAAAATCAAAGACACCCCTTGATTTAAACCATACTTAAAATTCCTAAAAATAATTTTATTTTTCAGAATTCTATTCACATTTACATTTATACATTTTATTTATTATATTTATAGATGTTATATATATTAGAGAGAATACCTTTTAATATAATAATATATATATTTATATTTTTTATTTTATATTTATTTATATTAAATATTTTCAGATATTTATATATATATAAAATATATATTTATATATCTGGATTTTTATATTATTTCTATTTATATTATTTATAAAAAACCCAGCCTATAACCTAATAAAAACAAAAAAATCCCCAATTTATTTTAACTATATGTAAATATTTTTATAGTTAAAATTTATATTTTTATATATTTGTGTATATATATAATAGACTATAATTTATATATTATATGTTACAATAATATACTATATATTATAGCTTATTTATTTATGTATTTGTTTTCTGTATTTATGTTTACCACTATAATTTTATATTTAGATTTATTTCCATTTTCATCTATATATTAAACCACATAAATTCATTTCCCTAACATATCAGAACCACAAAAATCCCGTACCTTGGTCAGCACCAGTACGCAGTACACGCTCATCCATCGCAGCATATCAAAACAAATCCTATTTCTATTACTAACAGAACAATAATCCCACAACATTTAACCCTAATAAAAGCTCAAATAAACCGAACTGTAAATAAATTTTAAATCCCACTATAACTAGCCCAAAACCTCCGTTCATTGTAATCATAAACTTCCTCCTAAACCAATATCTGAAAAACCCAAAAAACTCAAATACATTAAAAATTACATAACTGCTAATAAAAACAAACACCCATTAAAACTTAAATCAAACAAACTTACTAAACTCAAAAGTGTACAACTGACCTTAAACATTGCTAAAAAAAACCCCAAAGCTCTACCTTTATGCTAACTCACAAATAATAACCAATAATCTATAAAAGTTACTTTAAAAAAAAAAAAACTAAATAAAAGCATGAAAATGAAAAATATAAACTATTAAAATTCTAAAAAATATCACTACCCAAATTAAAAAACATATTGCCTATAACAACCCACCATATAAATGCCCCTGTCCCCAAAATTAAAACTAAAAAAACCCCGTTGAACCAGAAAGAAATCGGAACTTAGGAACACTAAAACCATAACGTTCAAGAAGTTACACCATATCCCTTATCATACACCAACTACAAACAACATAAAACAATACAATCAATTCTTAAAAACCACCTGAAAACCACTACATTAAAAACCCTTTCAAAAATTAAAAACTGCATTTAACAAAAGCCATCTAATAAATTAACACCCCAAACTCCAGCAGCCGAGCTGGCCCTACCAAACCTGTATGTTTATACACACAGCAAACAAAACCAAAATCCCAGAAATACCTATCAGAAGTCTGTTAAAGAAGCCTATTGAAATTAACCCTACCTCAAATACAAACCAACCCATCCAGAAAGTGAGCTTCACTTAAATAACAATTTACACGGAGTTAATAATACCAAGAAATAAAACCACACACCATAGACCACCAATGAATATAATAGTGAAGGAAAAAAAAACCCGCATTTTTTTCTTTTTTTATTTAAACTAACTACTTATATTAGCTAGAACAAAAGATTTTGCCAGGACTGTAACAACAACTTTTTCTTTTTCTTCTTCTCCTTCTAAAATGTCCCCTCTCATTCCCAAATTCCTTACAACTTCCGAGTTTAAATCCAAGCAAAAAGCAAACTTCGTGCACTTTTGTGTTCAGTGCTCCTGTCAGATTCTGTGTTTCCCTCCACATCTTCTTACACTTTCAGTCTTCACACTGTGCTGCTGTGATGAGTTTGACAGAAGAATTGGCACATGTTAACAGAGGATTTCCCTCCCTCCTTCCCTCCCCAGAGCTGGTTTCCTTAGTGCATTTCAATCAATCCAAGCCTGCAATGATGCATGCTCACCTCAAGGCTCACAGCAAGCATGCAGCAGCTCAGGCTTACTTGGCTCCAGGGCTCTATGCCCTACATAGCTGAGAAAACTTCTGAGGAGCCTCTGTTACAATAAATTGGAATGGAAACTCAGCTCCATCTCAGGGTCTTGGCGGGAGGCAGGAGCACATCTGGCTGAGCCACAAAAAATCCCGTCTTGGGCAGCTGCACTCTGCTGGAAAGGGGAAACACGTGCTAGTGAACAGCAGCTCAGAAACAATCCTTTTCTAATGTTACCTGCTCTACTTGACTGCTCACTAACACTAGTCTAATTTTATCATTGCAGGGAGAATTGTGAAGGAAAATGTCTGATGAGCAGCGACAAAGGCTTCACTCCCTGCTACACAGCCTGCAACACCCTTGGGAGAGCAGAGCAACAAAATCACCAAACTCTCCTTGCCATGGGGAAGGGTAGAAGATTACTGTGGGAGGCATATAAAATGAAAGGAAATGCTCCTATCAATGCACAGCCATTTGCTTTCAGAAGCCCAGAGTTTCTCTAGGAAGCCAGACATGACATGATATTTCTAAGATTTTCTTCTTCATTGAAGGAAATGTATGTATATACATACACTTTTAAATGTATGTATGTTTTTGGGTTTTTTTTCTTCTGAAGCTCCAAGAATGATTTCCCATCTTGAGTCATTTAGAAGAAATGGCCCCTGTGACTCAGGACAGAAGGGCGGCCTGCGTTTTTGATCATGACAGCTTTTGGGTTTACCCTGGAAGCAGGAGCAGCCAGAGCTGAGGCTCAGCAGAGGCTGACCCTGGCCAGCCCCTTCCTCACTTCCCTGTGTCACAATGACTTCCAGGCAGAAGGATGCAAAGCAGGTGTTTGTCTTTTCTCTCGAGTGCCAATAGGGAAACTATTTAGGCTTTGAAATAACTAATTACCCTCTCTTTGCACTCTCCCAAGGACAGTTTTAAAGAAAAGACAGAAGATTGCTGCTAAATCCATATCGGATAAGGAGGAAAGCAGCAAGGATCCGAGGCCAGCAGCGTGGCCAGGCAGTGTCATGTCCCTGCCACCTTGTGACAAGGCACACAGCTGCAAAGCCCCAAAGCCTGCAAGCCCTGGAGCTGCCACATGGATGGACCTGGTTCCCTTCCCGGGTGCCCAGAGGGAAACCTGAGGGCAGGTGTCCACCCCGAGGGTGCACCCAGAGCCCCGGGCAGGGATGGAGTCACTGACTGCTCCCTGGGGACGAGACCCTTCCTGCAGGTGACAGTGTCTTGTCCTCTCCCTGTGGGACAGGGACCTCCAGTGTCTATGACCAGCCTCATGCTGTCAGCATCCAGGTGCTGTGTTAGAGCCAGAGGGGTCAAGGCTTTCCAGAACCATAGGATCCTTTAGGTTGGAAAAGCCTTCTAAGGTCATCGAGCCCAGCTGCTGCCCCAGCACTGCCAAGCCCCCACCCAAATCAGGTCCCTAAACACCATATCTTGACATGCTTTAAATGTCCCCAGGCATGGGGACTGCCCTGGGCAGCCTGCTCCTATGCCTGACCACCCTTTCAGTGAAGAAATTGTTCCTCAAAGCCAATCTAAGCCTTCCCTGCTGCAACTTGAGGCCATTTCCTTTTGCCATGTCACTTCTTACTTGGGAGATCTTGGTACTTAAACCTTACCTGCTCGTTCCCTAGGAGGTCTCTGGCTTGGCTGGATGAGAGGAGAAACACTCCCACCACAGGAATGGGAGCTCAGGAGGTCCCACACCAAGGCAGGGGGAGCAGCCATCCTCACCAGAGCTCGCATGTCAGTTCTCAGAGATTGGCTCTGCTTTTCCTCCCGGGCAGATCTCTGCTCAGTGCTTCAGAGTTGGCTGTTTGGAGGAGGGGGGAAAAATAGGTTAGCCAAGTTTTTTATCCAGACTTATCTGATGTCTTTGCCTGCTTTGCCTCTTCCTGACTTCCTTCTGCTAAGAAAACAGCTGCCTTTGGACTTCTAGGGGGAACTTTCACATAATGCCTGAAAAGGAACTACAGAAAAGTGCCTCATTTTTAAAGACTCGGCCAAGAAGACAGATAATTGCAGCTTCTCCATCCCCACTGCCTGCAGAGCTGGCAGGCACCAGGCCAGCTCTGCTCCTCCTTCAAGTTGTTCCCAAATCTGCTGGAAGAACTGAAGGCTAATTTGGCGTTCCATTGCTCTGCTTCTCCCGAAAAAGATCTTTCAGTGCTGTTATCCCTCCATGGGAACGGCCTTTCTGTCTCACACACTCAGTGACACAAGGCTACACGAAGCTGCAGCAGCCTCTGCTCCAGGTGGGAAGGGCTTTCTTCCTCCTCTGGCACCTGGCTGGCACAGGTTGCTCACAGATGCTGTGGCTGCCCCATCCCTGGAAGTGTTCAAGGCCCATTGGTGCTCTGGGATGAGGCTCTGAGCAACCTCGTCTATGGAACCATGTCCCTGCTCACGGCAGCAGGCTTGGAGTGAGGTGATCTTTAGAGCCCCTTCCAACCTGAATTATTCCATCATTCTATGAACTCAAAAAACTTGGGGAATAAATCTGTAAAGGTCACTAAATACATAAAAGCATATCCCCATCAGCATATTTCTGAATGAAAAGTATATCTAAAAAGAGGAAGAAGTATTCTATGTATTTGCTCTTGCTACCTTTCAGGTGTAATTTTAGCTATCACTTCAAGTTTTAAAATATTTTCTTTTGAAATATAAGCAGTGTTCAAATTTTAGCATTTTTACACTATTGCAGAAGTAAAAATTGCTGACAATCAGGCCATGTCATTCTTTATGGAGCAGAGCCATAATGACAGAATTTCTGGGACAGAAATTTTACAGGATGTCACTCCACAGAGAGCACCAAATTCCATATCAGTTGGCAGTTCAGCTCCTCCACATCAGAAAGCTAAACTAGGACAAAATAGCCTCGGGCTTCACGAATGGTAAGGCAATAAGAGACATGCCTTAATAATATCATTACAATTTCCACATATCTGTCACCTGATCTGTGACAGCAAAGCACCCTGGCCGAGGGGAAGGTGTCCCTGCCCAGGACAGGGGGTGGAACGAGGTCGTTTTTAAGGTCTCTTCCAACCCAAACCATTCTATGGTGTGACGAAACAGGAGAGTTGTAAGGGAGAAGAAGGATGAATTCCTTTGGAAGGATAATGTTTTGCCTCTCTAGTAGCAGGCTTTGTTGGAAGGATTGTTTTGCTCTTCCACTGACCTTGGCTGAAGGTGTTTCACCCTGCAGAGAGCGGTAACAGCCTGGTGCACATGTTGTTCTTGGGCAGATCACATGGAGCTAGAGGGGAAAAGGCCTCAAGCAGTTCTGTGACAGGAGCAGACACTCCTCCCCACGTTTGGAAATATCCATGAGGGATTTTTCCAGCAGATGGCAACAGCAGACCGGTGTGTACAAGGCCAGGCTTTGCAGGCTGCCTGAAACCTGGCTGGGCTCCACCGAAAGCATCTCTCGGGTCTGCTTCTCCTGCTCCTGGTATTGAGCCTAGCTGGTACCCCAGGGCATGGTTACTGGAATATAGAATAAATCAGTGCTGCAGAGAACTGCACTACAAACTCTGCAGCTCTCGGTGTGTTTGCAGGGCTTAAAACACACCTGGTGCATTTGAAACAGATGAAAATTATGGCTCCCCCTGAATAAACATGATTTCTCTCCTGGATATCATTTTAAAAAATAATACTTCAAGGGGTGATCAGAATGGGAGCACAGACAAACACATAGAATAAAAACTACAGTGTTTGATGCTTTATCAAAAGGTGTGTCTGCCCTACCATGTCCAGAAGCTGGACTGCTGGACCCAACTTTGCAGCATATTCTTGTCATTGCTTCTGAGCCATCTTCACCAGCTGCTCTTGGGAAGCACTTGGATTGCCTTGGAAAGGTGATTATCCTGCATGGAACTGTGGGCTGAGCTTTGGGCCTCTGGAGGAAGGAGCTGTGCCCTGGATTCCCTCCCGATGGCGCTGCAGACCCCAATACCCGCGGCAGGACTGGGGCACTCCCGGCCGAGCTCCACATCTCTGCCTGGCCCTGGGGAAGATGTGGGAGTTAGTCTGCACAATCATCGCCCCTGTAATCATCACCTCCATCAAAAGTCTGAGAGCACTGTTGTTTTCAATAAACAGCAACACTGTTCTGCCATTGCCAAATTACAATACGAGTGAACCTGGAAGACAAAACACAAGATAAATTTACAGCTGGACATTCCAGTCTTTTCCTCCAAAATGCAATCAACGTGCAGCTTTTCCCTTAAGCTGAAGTACGGACCAAATTCATCAAATCATTCAGGTCAGAAAAGCCCTTCACGCAGTGAAAATGAGCATTTAGGTGTGGTATGAAGCTTGGGGAGCACTGAAGAGGCTGTAAAAGTCAACTGATATTCTTTGGAAATTACAAATAAAAAATGGGAGGAATGAATTAACAATGAATCCAATGCAGAAACGCCACAAGGGACAGCTTGCAGGGGAGATGCCTGAAAGCCAAACCTGTGCATCAGTGACATCTACGGTGGTAATTTTGCAGAGTGCCTGTACACAAGTTTGTTTTCACGGTGATCAGTGAGCAGTGGCCACCCCAGAGCAGGAGGTGCTGTGGCTCAGAAGACCTGGCTGTAAAAAATACAGGTCATTGTCCCCAAGCACATGCCAGTGGTCTGGAAAAGGGTGACACTGGTCTTTAGCAAACAGACATTACTGTTGTGTTTGCTAAAGGGGGGAGCTGCTCAGTCCTCCTCACTTCACTGATGCTCCCAGTTGTGGTGCAGGTGAATGGCACCACTGGGCTCTGCTCCACCTCCCTGGGTATTTTCTGTGCAGGGAACAGCAATGCCATTGCAACTTTTCTGCTCTCGCATAATTCTTCCAGAAAAAAACAGTACCTTGAAGGGGAAACTGCCTTGTCCCTGTCCCCAAATCCTTTATCACTTGTGGTAACCCACGGCACATTCCCTGCACGTTATCTCTATGTTAACTCTGTTTACAAGTGCTGTGAATAAACCCAAATCCAACTGCAAAAGTCCCTTTTTGCTCATATTTCAATACAAGGCTGGAACTATCACCTTGCAATGAACTTTCCTCTACCAGTGCTAGATGCAAAATTAAAAAGCCAACCTAGGAATGCCTGCCACACTCCAGCACACAGAGCTGCTGCTGCTGCTTTTAATGGCTTAGGCTGAGGGCTTTTCTGTTCTTCCTTTGCTCTGCTAAAATGGGAAGGACTGTGAGACCTCTTTGAACTAGCTACAGATATCAAAGACTGAGTAAACAAGTATTCTTTATCCCATTTCTCTTAAGAGTTTGTTCTGACAGATGTTTTCTCCCTCCTGAAGTTTAGACTATAGTTTGATTTTTTTTCCCCTGTTTTGCCCCTTTAGCCCCTGAAGCATTTCACACCATGATGGGCAAAGGCCCAGCAGTAATTAGACTGACTGAACACTGGAAATGCAGACAAAAGAAAAGGTTGGAAGTTACGGTTGTTCTCCAAGCTGGCACTGCCAGCTCCTGAGGTCTCAGCCATGACAGCCCACGTTTCTGAGAGTACCTGTACACTCTGGGTGTGCGCAGACCTTGGGTCCTGCTGCAGCCTGGAGCCGCAGGCTCAGATATCCACCGTGAGCTCCTAGATCCTCCAGGACAAACCCACCTCTCCCTGTGGCTCCTGTGTTGTGCCTGTGGAGCAGGGAGGGAAGGAGAGGCACACAGGTTAACACGGTGGCAGTGCACAAGCTGCCAGGCGTCACCCATCTGACCTGCACCAAAGAGGAAACCTTATTTTTCAAAACTTCCCATCATGCCACACCAAACACTGAAGCCTTCCAAATCTGGAGGGGATAGCCTGGCATGATGCCCCCCAGCTCATATCTTACATAAAGAGTTCTTTTTCTCCTGCACAAGGCTCCATATTCTGCTTTTACAGACACAGAAATATCTATGGAAACTACAGATATTCCCTTTGCGACCTTAAATCATAACAGCCAGGCCTCTGTATGACTGTGCTTAACTCCTGCTTAGCTCAGGGCATCTCCCCATTCCTCAGGCTCCAGAAACCACTGAAACTCCCATGTTTTCCTGGTGGCTGACTGCTTGCAGCTGCCCTCCTCTCACCAACGGGGTCACCTGCCAGGCTCTCTAGTGCACAGGGCACAGCAGCCTCCAAGGGGAGTATTCATCTGTTTGAGAGGTGATTAAAAGCCTGGAAAAAAAAAAAGAAAAAAAAAAAAAAAAAGCAGAGCGATACTGTGGCTCTGAAGGTGCAAGAATCATTACCCTGGAGATGTGCAGGTCACCTGGCTCATGCTGAACGCGCTCTCTGGTCGCTTCACCTGAGTGTTCAGCTGGAGAGATCCATTTCCATGCGCTGGGCTGGGTCCATCTCTGTCCCTGCTGTGAGAAGGTGTTCAGGGGGGATGCCACTGCCTGCTCAGCAGAGGCTTCACACACTCTGCCATCAGGGGCAGCCTTTGAGGCCACACCAGCCTGTCAGAGAGTGACTGAGCCATTCTGACTGTGTTAACAGCACCACTGATGAATCCTCAACCTGAAACCCAAATTTCACCAGAGAGATGTTTTTCCTCAACATCTCTCTGATAAAGACCTTTTGGCTGTAATATTGACATTGTCGTGACTATTAGATCATCGGAGACTCGTCCATGCTAAAATAAAATCAACCCCCTACTTTGAAGCACTAAATTCTCTACCAAAGCAAGTGTTTTACTGCTTGGGTATACTGAGTGTTATA